AGAAGTTTTGATGCACAGTGCTGGGCAAARAGTTCACCTGACTATAGAATGATGTTTCCAAAACCCAGCTGTTCCAGCCAGTGCTCAGGTCCTTTCCTGGTGCTGTTTGACTTCTCCTCGAGAGGCAGGAKCTTACAGGAGGTTGGTGGGGTGTTTTTCTGGTGTCTCCTAAGAGAAGCTTTCAAGAGGAATGCCTAGAGAGAGCTGATAATCATTTGATGCCCTAGAAGTGAAGTGCTGCAAATCAGATGGGGTCTTCTCTTATGATTTTTCAATAAAGAAGTTTATTGATATTMTTGATAGGGCTGAGGGTGCTGCTCCTTTTCCACCTGCAAGCTGAGGTTGCTGTTGTTTGCTTTAGTTTTTAATTTCAAGAGTGCTTATTTTGACACCTTGCTTGTTTTGGCTCTTAGAAACTTCTCTTACACCATAAAAGCTGCAATCCATCATGGGATTTGTTGTCATCAGGAATGTTTGTCTTTTCACAACTGTGCCTTGCTTTGCTAAAGATGAGAAGGCCATGTGAAAGTCAAGAGAACATGAAATCACTCAGCTACCTCAGAATTACCCTCAGCTGTCTGAAGGAGGTCCCCACACAGGATAATCTTCCTGCACCCCAGAGCTGTTTCTTCTCTTGGMTGCAAGAATTCTCAGAGTCCTTAAGATGACTCATATCTTATTTATGGTCTTCAAATGCTGCCTGTTCCCCCAGCTACAAATGGATGACCAGWGTTATTATTTGCTGCTGTGAAAAGCAATAATTACCCCAAATGATGAAATTCAATTTGGCTTTCATTAAGACTTATTTCAGGAAGGGAAAAGATGAGAAGAGTAATCACTGGGAAAACTAAAACTGTGAAGCAGAGGTGAAGCACAGAAGTCTTGGTTTAAAAACCTGTACATTTATTCCTTTAGTGTAAAATAATCCAGCTTTRCTGTAGTTGGAATATTTATGGCAAAAGAAAATTAACATTCTTTGAGAATTTTCCTTTAGTTTGGAAATTTTAGATGCATCTGTATGATAGATGGGAAAACTCTTCATTTGAACAGTTTTCCTTTATGCCATATTAAAATTTCAAAACTTTATTAAAATAAAACTCAACAAGGAGAAATCTAGGTATTTACATGCACTTTTAGCAAGAGTTAGTTGCTTCAGGGCTGTTCACTGTTGTTTTTTGTTTGCTTTCAAATCACAGGATGAAGGAAGTGTGAAAGAAATTCCTATTACACACCACGTGAAAGAAGGATGTGAGAAAGCAGATCCAGCACAGTTTGAACTACTTAAGGTTCTGGGACAGGGATCATTTGGGAAGGTAAGATGATGAACTTGTTCCATAGGCCTCTCCAGACATTCCAGGGAAATAGTGGCCAGCAGAGTTGCTGGGAATGTTTGACATTTCGTTGACTAATTGAATCCATTCCCAGTCTTGCCCCAGTGCTGTGGACAGAACCTTCTGAAGGAAGTGGTAGTTTGTCTTTTAATGATGGGACTTGACATGCTGGGAATGTTTGGGTTTTTTTAAGACACAAAATCTTTATTTATGCAGCTACAGAAGAGATGATTGTGGCAGTTGGGAACTTGAACTGAAGTAAGAGTAAAGTAAATAACCTRGGAAATGTATTTCAGGTTTTCTGCTTTGCTGTATTTATCAAGTGATCTGCAGTTAAAAGACACTAATTATTCAAATGGCACAGAGAAGAAATCTAGCAGGGTTTTTGTTACAATATTTTCCTTTTGTAATGTGCCACTTGGTGTCAAGTTAAAAATCTGATCTCTCAGTCACTGTGTTACAACACAGCAGTTGAAATATTAATCCTAGTGTATAAGAAGGTAATTAATTTTTTAAAACCAGACTCAAACTACATCTTTTGCAACACATCAAAAGTAGTCAATCAGCTTTATGTTTGTTTCTATTTTCCTATTCTTCTGCTGGTTCTGTGTGTGTGTCTAGGCAGGAACAAACCTCTACATAGAGTGGAATGAGAGAGGAGAAAATAGACCTTAGGAAGGCATTGTGTCAATAAGTGGTGGTGTAGAGAGATTTTAAATATTTCTTAATGTTTTGAGGTTTCAGAAACATTCCTTTACCTGGTAATGTTGATTGCCAATTCCCTCACACACTTCTCACCGTCAGAGCCTGAAAGGCTCCATGTATTWATTCCTCCTGAATTGATGTGTCTGAAGCTACCTCAGGGTTCAGCACARCTGGCACAGACAGCCCTGACTCAGATTTGGCTTCCCAGAGTTCAGGGCTCTGCCAGCCTAAGGAGTGCTCTTGCTTGGAATCCCASCAGCTTGGCCAGACATGCTCTGGAGCTTTGCAAAGCTGGCACTGCCTGCTCCAGGAAGCAGCTTTAGGAGCTGCATGGTGCCTCTTGCACACCTCAGCTCACATCTATTTATCTCTGTTCTTTTCCATTGAAAAGAGAAAGCAAACAAGAAAATGAGTGGCTCTTGCTTTGGAGGTGTTTTCTCTTTCCATTTCTACTCCCAGGGTCCTTCCTTTGGCCTTGGCAAACACAGAGTTGATTTGCTGGAGCCTGATTTTGACATCACTGCAGAAATAAAGGGTCAAACCTCCTGTCCATTACTGAATTTCTCTTTTCATCCTTTGAGGAATGATATGCCTTCCAAGGCAGATGTGGAGTTAAGGAGGTTTTATCTGCCAATTAAATAAATAGGTGATGCTTCAATCGTTCTCACCTATTTTGGGCCTTTTTAGCTTAAATTTGTAATTTATACATGAATTCCTTATGTTCTCACAACTTGCTAGTTATTAAAACTACAGTATTTCTGTGTTGCTACTATTAATATTTTATAATTGTGATTGTATTCATCTGCAGATGYTTTCTTAGTTCCTGGTGTTCAAATTACCCCCTTCACTGTTTTCTGTCACCTTGACCTGTGGGAGAGCACTGTTGTAGGTCAATTATTGGGCAAAACTTATTAAAACAAAAGGCCAGACAGCCTTGAAATATGGTGACATGTTTCTTCTAACCAGAGCTTCAAATAAAAACAACCCCTCTCCCAACCTTGTACAATTTAGTTATCACAATGCTTGAATTTCTGATTATAGAATGGAAAATTTGACAAGATTATTGAAAAAATACATCTAATCTCTACATAGCTGACAATTTCCAACAAAATATATATGTAAATAAGTGTAGTATAAAGAAAATTCTGGATAAGGTGAGATYAGAGAGCCAATTTTGGTTAGCTCTTGGCTTTTTCTTGTGACTTGTATATTATTTTTACAGCAAAAATTAATAGTTCATAACTAATAATTGCTATTACACACACAGCAATTTAGAAGTGGGAGCATATATCCCAAACCATTTTGTATTTGGAAGATCTGGTAGTTAAAAATTGGTAGCTCCATGTATTTGTACTGCAGTATTTTAGTTAATGTGCTTTTCTCAGTGTCAAGTTATATCCCATCTATCTTTAAAACTCTTCTGGAGYGAAAAGAGTAGAAAAACCTGTTGGAGTTGCTATTCCAGAGGGAAAGGKTTCTTTGATCTTAAATGGTGAGGTTTCCTTGCTTTCATCTCACCACTTGTACAGAATTCATTAATAAAATGAATGTTTCAGGTTTTAGACTTGGGTCTTAAACCTCAGAAATCTCTTGGGAAGTGGCAGACCAGGCAAAATTGTCATTCTCTAAGAAAGTGACRGAAAGAAACATCTTTCTGTAAGAACTTGTTTGATAAATCAGGAAGAAATCCAAAATTTGTGGCCATTATAATGCTTCATAGAGCTGGGTGCTACTGCAGCTCTGATCTGATCAAGGAATGCAGTTTTACTCTTCCTTTAAAGGTGTGTGCTTAGCAAAGAGCACTGGAAGCTGCCTGACATTGATAGGAGGTTTGCAAATGCTTTGGGAGAGTTTGGATTGGATTACCAAGCTTGCAGTGATTTAAAAATGGGCTTTATATTACCAGGTCTTCCTCGTGAGGAAGATAATTGGGCCTGATGCTGGGCAGCTTTATGCAATGAAAGTGTTGAAAAAAGCTTCTTTAAAAGGTAGGTCTGGCTCTCAGTTGAGACTTGGGAACATGGGGTTTGGTGCACCTGYATTTAAAAGCTTTTTTTAATCTTRAATATTTGTCAGTGAGTTCATAACTCTTCTCTGACAGTATGKTTKKKKTTTTTTTTTTAGAATAACTTGTAAGTTCATGTTTAAGTGTTATTTTAAATCTGGCCAGGTAGCTTTAATTATGTGGTCAGAAATACTCTTTCAAAGTTTAGAATTGGATTATTTAATTCTGTTTAGACTTTTCATTATATGAAAACAAGTTAATTTCATAAACAGTTTTCCTTTTGTCTTTTGTTAAGTTAGAGCTCTGTTGTGGTTAAAATTAAGTCGTTCTCTTGTTCCCAGAGCCATAACAATTTAATTCAGTGTTTGGCTTTTAGGAGACACTTGAATGGGTCAAGTCCACTGYGTGTAGACAGGACTGTTACTGTTAAAGGGTAAAAGTAATTGTAAAAATATTTTATATTCAGTACAGATAGTTAATGCAAAAGTTGAACTTGGAACATAGATGAGAGTTTTTTGCTTGGAAGCAATATGGATTATGACAAAACATGGGGATGAGTTGGAAATATAATGAAGCAATTGAGAAAGTTGGGGCAGACAAGAGACTTTGCTGTCTAAAAGAATGAGTTTTATGGGAGACTTGAAATTAAAAAACAAATAAGGTGATGAGGAAAGAGATTTCTTTAGGCAGCAAAGCCTTTCTGCTGTGTTTGTCTTGTACCAAATGCATTTGTTTCACAGTGTTTTTTTTTTTTCTTTGCTGCCATCAGTTCGGGACCGGGTCCGTACCAAAATGGAGCGAGACATCTTGGTAGAAGTAAATCACCCGTTCATCGTCAAACTGCACTATGGTTGGTGTTGATTCCTTTCTCTTTGCCTAAAGCCCCTTTCATTCCTTGAAGGCACAGCTGCTCTCATTCTTCCTTACTTTTGGAAGGTTCAGGTTAGGTTCTAGCAGCATGAAAAATAATGTAYATACACATCTATGTAAAAGTTTTAGGTTCAGCCCTCTCAAAATTAAAGATTTGCAAAGTTCTTACAAGTTCTGCAGAGATTTTGTACTTCTCATTGATTTAACCCAAACCTTGGTAATTGACATCCTTGCTGTTTCCCTGTTTGAAAAGGAGAAATAAAAGAACATTATTTTAATCATCTCTTATGACTAAGATTTTCTTCTGTGAAGAAGCAAGGAATCATTCAGTAAATTACCTCATGTGCTGCTGAATTATTTCAGTTCCATAACAATAGTATTGCCTGTGTCTGAAATTTCCTTCTTGTAAAAGCATTCAGACCTGTTTTGTAGCCTTGTCATACAACTATTGATTTTTATTTTCTTTTCRTTTTTAAAGCCTTTCAGACTGAAGGGAAGCTCTATTTAATATTGGATTTTCTCAGGGGAGGAGATGTATTCACACGATTATCCAAAGAGGTAAGTACCTACAATTTTATCTCCACTCACTCTTAGACAGGGGTTGGGTTTTGTTGGTACAGGATTGGCTTCTAAACCTGTTTGCCCCCATGTCACAGTGAAGTTTTTAATAACTTAGTTGGGTTTTCCTTACATATTCTAGATTCTGYTCTATCCTTAAGAAACCCGAGTGTGTATTGATGAGTAGCCCAAGTTTTAATTTGGCATCTGCAAAGTACAGTTCTTTTGTCTAAAAATGTTTTGTTGCTTGGAAACACAACTGAAGTAAATGAATATTTAGCACTGGAGGAAGGGGATGTGGAGTTCTCATGCTCTTAGTCAGCTTAGGTGCTCCTGGAATCCTGCAGCCCTGAGAGGTTTCTGCTGCTCTATAAAATTGCCTCGTGCTGCAATCCAAATGCTCATCCTGATCCCCACAAGTGGGAACACTGAGTGCTTTTGAGCCCCCTCCCCTCCATCCAACCCTGACACACAACTGGACCTTTAATTTTTCATTTCTATTTTTGTTTTCTGGAGGGAGAGCTTTAGAGGAGGGAATGGGAGACAGCTACAGGCTGTTGTTATTTTTTTTAAMCATTTGCCATCAAATATTTATTACGTGTTACCTTAAGTGTTATGAACACGTTTAGAGGACTTTTATTTTCTTTTGCCAGACCTTTTATAAAGATCTAAATTTTTAATGGCAGTTTCTCAACAGCTTCACAGCAAGAGAGGTTTTCAGTGTTTTCACCACTGTAAATCCATTTATATTGCCAAAGCACAGGAAAAGCCACTTTCCTAAATGAGGAAACCATGTTATCTGCCTGATTTTTTCATTGCATGAAGAAGATTGTTTACTCCCAGTATGTAAGACTAGGAGAGAGTTTTTTTCCCCATATACTTTTCATAAAAATAAAGATTTTACTTTAGRAACAGGCAAAAGAGAAGGAAGAATTCAAAGGCATCTTTGTTAAAAGCTGAGCTTGGTAACACTAATTATGTCTAAGAATTTGAGCTCAAAATTAATTAATCTGGAAGCTAAAAATGGCTGTTAAAAACTTAAAGTGATCGACTTGTCCCGAGTTATTGGAGCAGGAGGTAGGAAAGAGGTCAGGCTCTGCCTTGGTATGGGATGTTTAATTACAGRGGATATTCTGGAATAGCAGGAAGAGCTGTTCTCTTGCACTAACCCAGCTGGGATTATCCACTGTGCAACATTCTTAAATAAGGGGTGCCAAGCTGTCCATAATAACTCTGTAAGGGGTTGTCAGAGGGAAATATTCCCTGTRGGAATCAAGAAGTCATAATCCTCAAGTTTTCTTAATGCTAAGACTCYACATGTTTTTTGCAAGACTTCAGTTACCTTCTGTGCCTGTTTTTAAGTATTTTAAATATTGCAGTGTATATAGATATTAAAAAACCCAGGGTTTTATTTTCTGATGGGAATGTGAGGTAATTTCAGGAGTCCATGGTAAAACACAGCCTKTGGACAAGGCACAGGAGGATAAATTCCCTGTGGCATTTCATACTTTGCACACAAGGATTATTTTCAATTAATTTGGTTTAGTATGAAGTTATTAAAAGACTTTTGTTGGTCTTTAAATTCTAATGTGAGTAGGAGAGTTTCAGCTGTGGCAGTGAGATGAGTGCATAATGAAGTTTTTATTGGTAGTATTTAATGAAGTTGACTTGCATCATGTTTAACTTGACCCAGAGAACAGCTTTAAATGTCATTATGGGGAGATGGCAGATGAGCATTTAGCATCATTGTATTCTGAGATTTGCATTTTGGCTGCTCCAAGGGCTAATGAAATCCAAGGAGTAATGAAGTCCAAGATTTCCTCTTGCTCTTTTGAAAGAGATGAACAGCAGCATCAACATCACTCTTTAGAGGTGTGAAGGTGCCACTGTGTGCAGTGTAACAGCTTCATTGTTCACCCAGGGTTAWCCCCTGTCATTATGGAAATCAGGGAATGTTTCTGTGCCTGCAGAACAGATCACACCTGAGCAGTTCAAAGTGCAGGGTGGTGGCACTGAATCAGAGAGCCCAGGGACCTCCATTTCAGCCTCACTGCACTCCCCATTCCTGCTGCATTCAGCAAATAAGGGAATAGCTCCCTTTAAAGCCCAAATTCAGTCCTGTCATTTAAAGATTCCAAGCTCCTCCAGCGATTTGTAGAACATGGCAGAAGCCAAAGCAGGTCCAGTTTGTGTATATTAAATTAGAATCAGTCTGTGGAGTGTTCAGGATGGAAGTGCATCTCTGCTCTAGAAGCAACAGCAATTTTTCAGTGTCTCACCAGGGTTCTTTAATTTTTTTTTTCCTAAGAGCAGAGTAGGTTCTTCAGCTCCCAGACTGTCATTGTTTTTGTCACCAGTGTTTTATTGTGTATGCTTTTTTCCAGAATGTTTTTTTTTTTCTCTAAATACTGTTAATGTGATTTTACACTCACCCAATACAGCAGCCATGTATTAAATTTTATGATGCAGTGGAAAACTGTCAGGGATTGTGGCAGGAGGAGTGCTGGGGGTCAATTGTGCCAAATATAACAATTTATTATCTAAAAGTTAACTAATGCTTTGCAGTAACGCTGATGTTTTTATTTAAGTATTGCAGGTAGTTTGTGTACTTTATAATTAAYAGATATTAATAAATAATTTCTTTTGGGTGAACTCATGAATTGTGAGTTCACAAGGGACTTTTAAAACTGAAATTTCAAATTTGAAATTTGAAATTTAGACAGACAGGACTGTATTTTTTTTAGATTGCAGTTTTAAAAACTGAAGACAAGATCAGAAGGTAAATCTATACAGTTCTTATTAGGTTATGTTTACAGAGGAAGATGTGAAATTCTACCTCGCAGAACTGGCCCTTGCTTTGGATCACCTTCACAGCTTGGGAATTGTGTACAGGGACCTGAAGCCAGAAAAGTAAAGTAAAATGTATTTTACCACTCTTATGTGTATTTTGCTTGTTGCTTTGCCTATTCTACTGTAAAAAATTAAAACTTATATTTTCTATTTGTTTACAAAGTCTTAAAAAGATACCTGATTTAAATTAAATAATATTTGCTTGTTTAAGTAATAACAGATTTGGATATCATAATTTTAAACTTATATTTTAAATGTTATATGCAAACATTGCTCTTTATGTGTTTTGGTGAATGTGAATTTTAATTTTCAGCATTTTGCTTGATGAAGCAGGACATATCAAGTTAACAGGTAAGCACCACTCATTAATACAGCCTTTTCCAAATAAGCTCTTTTGTGTTTCTGTATTACAAACTTGAAATGCATGTAAAATTGCAGAAAAAAAGTTCTGTGAGGAGCAATTCAAATACATATGTTAGGAAATTATGTATTCAAAAGACTGTGTGGAAAACAAATTGCTATAGATTTCTGAGAGCTTTAAATTGCATTTAAGGTGATGCTTTTATACTGGAGATTTCATAATATATTTAAATCTGAGATATTGCTGTTAGACTCAAAGAGAAAACTAAATTTTTTAAACCCTCAAAGATTTGAGAGAATAATGGTGATGGAAATCAGGTTTATAAAATGCATCCCTTTAAAAATTCTGGTATATTTAAATACAATTCAGTCCTAAATTTTTTCACTTCCTACTGAAAGTGGAAATAATAAGGGATGGGATCATTGATTAGCAATCATTTTCCCCTATGAAGAAAGGATATTTCAGAACCTCCATGAGAGCTGAACAAGCGTCAAGGACTTGTGTATTCAAAATAGGGAAACTGTTCTGGGAAGGAAATATTCTGGGAATGCAGGACTGTTCTGTGCTGTACTCAGGTTTGTGTGAGTCAGGTTGTGAACCCATGTTGCCTTATGTAACAACAATATTTTTAGTCTGATTTTATTTATTCATCATTCACTAAGACCAGACCATGCAGGCTGCATTCCCTTTGAAACTGATTTTTACTTCTATCCAATTTTTTGTGTGAAYAAAGCAGGCAGTAAACAGAGAAAATGAGAACTTCTGMGTATCTTAGGGCTCTAAATGTTAGAATTTCAAATGTCGAGTTATTTCAGTAATAATTTTAATGGCTWATCATGAATTTAATGACTTTTAGAATGGCTTTGGAGGTGTGTAGTAAACTAAATGTGCTATCTCCAGATAAACCTGCAGTCTCTTGTTTCATGGAGAGCTGTGATAATMGTATTTCTGAAAATAACCAACCCAAGCCTGTCAACACTTGGATTTTGAAGTACCCTATATTGATGTATTTTTTTCCCCCTGAAGTTCTTTACTGGCTGTATTCTTGTGATGCTGTTGTTGTAGACTTTGGACTCAGCAAGGAATCAGTAGACCAAGAGAAGAAGGCCTATTCTTTCTGTGGTACTGTAGAGTACATGGCTCCTGAAGTGGTAAACAGGCGAGGGCACAACCAGAGTGCTGACTGGTGGTCCTTTGGGGTCCTCATGGTACTGTATTTTTCCCTTGCTAAGCTCACAAAAATACACTTAGAATAAGCTTGGTCAGTTCTAATTAGCAATGTTTGGGTAAGGGGGACAGTTCCATAACTGAATTGCTACTGGGTGGAATAAAATGGACTTTTCACTTCTAAGGAATGTTTATAAGGCACCAGGAAAATCCTGTGTGTCGTCCATTAGTAGTTAAAACCAGTTGCAGTCCATGTGAAACTTCACTTAGTATATTTATTTTGCATGTGAGTTGATAGTTAGATTTAAAAACAGTTGCATTTAAAAACAGACTTGAAGATTTGGTTTGAAGGAATATTAATGGCATTTCTGTAAGAGGCAGCCTGTGGAAGGAATGCTGGAGTGGAGCAGTGAGATAAGCCAGTCACTGCTGCCTCTTCTGCCCTTGCTGGAGTGTGGTAGAGCATCAGCCTGACATGCAGATGGACTTGAAAAGTAAACTACTGTTCTAGAATTTACCATTCTTGTAGTTTTTAGATTATGGCAACATCTAAAAGCTGGTTATGGAGGAGATTTTATTACTTTCAGGTAGCTTTGTGATGTAAAATTCTCCTCCATCATTATGTTACACTTASCACTGTTCTCATCATGTAAACTGCAAGTGAGAACAGAATTTTAGATTTGGGAACATTTTCATAATCTTYTCAAAGTTCAAACCAGTCTGATGTACAGATAGGAAAGAGTGCATTGCTTAACACTTTATTTCAGCAGTTGGGGAAAGAAATGTTGATTTAGATTAACRTTTGTTCTTTCCAGTTTGAAATGCTTACTGGTACCCTGCCATTTCAAGGTAAAGATCGAAATGAGACTATGAATATGATACTGAAGTAAGTATATCTCCTTACTTTTTCAGAAGTCAGAAAATGTAATTTTAAACATGTTTTATCAGCTTGTTATAGCTCYTTGTGCAGCCAGGTCTGTCAAARGTGTCCCCAKKGCAGGAYRGKGTGRGCTTTAAGGTCCCTTCCAACCCAAASCATTKGATAATTCTAAGAGCACTGAGCTGCAACAGGAACTAAAAAGCAAACCCCCTGATAAGCTTTAGTTCTTAGGCTGTGAAATACCCTGAAGTGTGCCCAGGGTATTTAGATCCCAGCAATTAAAATCTCAGGGATGAATTTGTACTTTGATTGTAGGCGTATAATAAAGATAAGAACAATGCAGTGACTTAGAGCAGCYTTATTTACACTGCTGTTGTTGTTACACTCCCTTGCTACTGTTACAGCACACCTTGTTTTGTAAGCAGCAGCTGATCAGGTGTTGCTTTATGTACAGATGTGTGGAGAGCAYTTACGTGCTCAAATTCTCATCTTAAATTACCCCAGTTACAACAGAAGCTGTTGGACTGGACAAACTGGGTGTACTGGTGCTCAGTGAGAAGAGCTGTTGGGCAAATATGTTCTCATCTGTCTTTGTGCTCAGCTAACAAAGAGTTTTCTCCTGGCACAGCAGAGCCTTGGGCCCTCTGGAGAAGGGGAGGAGGGAGAAACTCTGTTCTTCCCAGCACAGGGCACTTGGAGCATGCCCTGAGTGGGAGTTGATAGTGGTGAAAGGATGGATTAGATCACAATTTTATTTATTCATCATTCAGTAAGACCAGACCATGCAGGCTGCATTCCCTGTGAAACTGATTTTTACTTCTATCCAATTTTTTTTGTGTGAATAAAGCAGGCAGTGTATAAATAACTGTGTATGAATAAAGCAACTCCCAGTGATGCTGCAGTTCTGCACAAGAATTCCCTGCCTTGGCATCAGAGTTATCATTAAATAAAAGAAATGGTTAAGTCAGTGAGCTTTTATATGATGGCTCAATGAGGCCCTGCCCTGGAGGAATGTCAGTAATCACTTTGAGGGGGTACTTGTGGATCTAGTGAGTCTCTTCTGGCACTGAGTTCTTGGTAGTTATTTTGATAAAAACCTCCTGGTGACATKAAGATATCTTTGAAACTATTTACATACTCCTGAGATGGTTATTTTACTCTGTTTTAGCATTTAGCACTCTTGCTTTGGGGGCTTAGGCGGGGTTTGGTGGTTTTGGTCTGATTTGTTTTTTCTTAGGTTTTGTATATATTAAACCACTCACATAATACGAAACTCAAAAAGTTGATGAGTTAAGTATGTGCACTCTACAAGGCTTTGGAATAGATCCTTGATACATCAAACTGTGCAGTGAAATCTGTGTAGACAGTTTTTACTAAGATAAGTTTCTTTCTCTGACTTGTTCTCTGTTTTCTTTTAGAGCAAAGCTGGGAATGCCTCAGTTCCTCAGCCCTGAAGCACAAAGTCTCCTGAGGATGTTGTTTAAAAGGAACCCATCAAATAGATTAGGTTGGTTCATTTATTTGGATCTTTAAATAATCAACTCAACCTAACGTTTAAAAAAAAATAGTTGCTAAAGGCTTTCAAGCTCTGGGTGATCAGTAACATTTGGGTTTAGACCATTTCCTGTTTGTTTGGATCATGACTTCCTGGGCTTGACCAAGGAATGGTTCCTTCTCGGATCAGTGGCTCTTAGGAGTKAGCCAAAGCTCTGACAATGCCAGAGTGAAGAATATTCACACTGYACTTAGGGACTCCTGTGCTCTGTTTGCCTCCCTGAGTGTTTTACATCCTTGGAGTATTTCTGTATTCACAGTTCCCCCAAGTAACCATGTCTGTGCAAAGTTTTTTAGAAATGAACTAATTTTTAGTGCAATCTTCAGAGAATTTACCCAAAAGTGTGTTAAATACAGTATTTTCTTTGTTCAGGAGCTGGTTCAGATGGAGTTGAAGAAATCAAGAGACATCCTTTTTTTTCTACTGTTGACTGGAATGTGAGTACAAAAGGATTTGAATTATAAATCTGCTGTTAATTTTTCAATATGTTGTTTCATTATAGGTATTTGTATCTGAATAGGGCACAACAAACACTGCATTGCTGCTGACTGGCACATGCTGGCTTCTGCTGCAATTCCTTGGCATCTGGAGCTGCAGTATTTACTGCATRTAGAGAGTATTAATTATAAATCGTGCATTACTTATTAAATAATTAAGAGTTGCAGCATTGTCAAGCTGAAATGGTCCATTGGAGCATTTGTAGTTGGGAGAGGCTGCTGGTGTTGCCAGGAATCCTTCAGGAAAGATCTGGCCAGTGCTTCCATGCAGGGACAGCTTTATCAATAACTGTCCTGGCCTTCCCTCTCCATCACTCCTGTCCCAGTCACAGCTCAGAACTGACTCAGGTGCTCTGAGATGATCCAAAGTCTCTACAARATCACGACTCCTGGCTTCAATTTTTAATGAGCACCTTATGATTCTCCTCTGTGGTTTGCTCATCCTCTGAGCTGTTTCCCAGAAATGTTCTCAAAGCCACGATGCTCTGTGTGAAATAAATCCCCTCTGAAGCCCCTSTTTGCTGTGATGCTGCAGGAGGGTTGATGGGATAAATAAGATGTGGCTGTGCTGACAGAACTGCAGCCACACAGGGCAGTGCTGTGCTCACCTATTTCTTTGAAGCCTCTCATCATTATCCATCTGTTTCTCTCTTGTATTTATTTCTGAAAAGTGATTTTCTAGGTGTGTTTATATAGCAGCTATCTCAGAGTCGTGTTCAGCAACAGGAGATTTTAATAACAGCAAAAMTTCACTGCTTTATGTGAATACAGTTCAAAAGTTGTTGTCTTGTTTGCCTTGATTATCTACTTTTCTTTTCAAGGCACTGATGTTGAAATAAATACCAGCAGGGAAGTTTCAAAGCTCAGCAGYTCTGGCTCTTTCTTCTTTCTTTATATATATTTTTTTTAATTTGACTATCATTTGTGTTTATTTCACACTGATGTGTTGGTGACACTTCTATGTTTTTTTCTTTGAGATGAATTCATGTCCCTTGTCTGTGGTTTTTTTTTTTTTTTTTTTTTTTTTTTTTTTTTTTTTTTTTTTTTTTTTTTTTTTTTTTTGTTTAGTTAGTTTTCTTTGTAAAACTAAAATAGACTATATGTTTTTGTGCAGGAAGGTTAAGTAGCATGGGGATTTTGCATCCCCCCAAATTTTGCATAGAGATTCAACATTTTTTGACATGAAATTTTAGTTGTAAATGGGATTAATTGAAAGATTTATTGAAATATTTGGGATCTTTTCCATCTTTCCCTGATTTAGTTTGGTGGCTTAGGAAAGTCACTGGTTGAGGTCTTTGTCCTTTACCCTTTATCTTGCCATAATTACAGTGCCCATGGAAAGTTCAATGACTCTTGATTATCTTTGTCCTTCTCCTTCAGAAACTGTTCAGAAGAGAAATTCAGCCTCCATTCAAACCTGCCTCTGGAAAGCCAGAAGATACTTTCTGTTTTGATCCAGAATTCACAGCAAAAACACCAAAAGGTAACTCTGCATGGCTATAAATTGGTGAGGTTTGTGAGACAAGAGGGTCAAATTAATGTTCWAACAACAGGCAAAAAAATTGAAAGGATGCACCAGGGTTCCAGAGCTTTGAAGGATATTCCCTCAGCAGGTTTCTGTTTTTTGAATATTCTGCTAATCTTTGACTCAGGGAAAAAAAACCAGATGGAATATTAAAAGCTGGACCATGGTTTCTAGTTCTGATTAAAGTCAGACATGCGGTGTTTGGGAAGCAGTATTTAACACTCAAAGTAAACTCATTTCAGCAGTGATTGTTTTTCAGGTTGGCATTTCATTGAGAATGGCTTGCTTTAAGAAAAATTAACCATTATCATCATTATTGCTCAGTCTTTCAAGTTTCACTTCAGGTTTTCTTTTGTGATTTTTTTCTTTCCTGCTGCATCCAACTTTTAAACCCTCTTCCCATGTTTGTTTGCCCCCAGATTCTCCAGGGGTCCCACCCAGTGCAAAYGCCCACCAGCTCTTCAAGGGATTTAGTTTTGTTGCAACAACTACTGTAGAAGACCATAAAATATCACCCCTCACCAATATCCTGCCCATAGTCCAGGTAATGCTTTGTTTTGGGAAACACAAAAAACATGTCAGACTGATCAATGTTTAGTGTTTACGCTTGTTCTTTCTTTGTTGAGGAGATCATTATAAAACATGCTTCATGAAATACTTCCATGGGATATTTTTAATTTTATAAAAGGAATTGCTGTTTTTCTGGGGGTAGAATTTCAAAGAAAAATCATGAGCAAGCAGGAGAAACTTCTACTGCTGGAAACGGTGTAATGGCAAAGAGAATCTTGTTGCTTTGGGTAACCCCTTSCCTGTGTTTTTTTGAAGCAGCTTCATGGAAACAGTGCCCAGTTCACTGATGTCTATGAACTGAAGGAAGATATTGGTGTGGGCTCCTACTCTGTTTGCAAGAGGTGTATCCACATAGCTACCAACATGGAGTTTGCTGTGAAGGTATTGGAATAAATATCACTCTAAAAATACTGTCTAGTGGATTTGAAAATTTCAGCTGGTGAATTTCCCAGTTGTTGTGGTTATTTATAAGTTGCAATCTTGAAAGCTGAAAATATGGTATAATAATGAGAACACCTGAAATAAAATGAGATTCATGAGGGTGGAACTGGATTTCAGGGAGTTAGTAATGCTTGTTGAGGCCAGTGCATTTCCTTGTTCAGTGGAGCAGTAGAGGCTGCATTAATGATAGAATTTTAACAAGGATAGAACAAGAAATGAATACATGGATTGTAAAACTGGAAGATTAATTACTCATGATTAGTAAGAAATAATGAACTCTAAWTTTTTTTACTCTGTTGTTGAAATGAGGATATAAATGCAAAAACGTCTTTATTAAATAGACTCCTTTTACAAGTWGYTTTTGCTATTTTATTTTGCAGATAATTGATAAAAGCAAGAGGGATCCCTCAGAAGAAATCGAGATTCTYATGCGTTATGGGCAGCATCCAAATATTATTACTTTAAAAGATGTAAGTTCCTCTTTTTTTGCTACCTCTAGGGTAGTAGACAGTGCTCAAAAAATAAATGCAGATGTAGAGAGTTTATTGGGATTCATTAAATTTCTTTTGCATAGTAAAATATATTGGGAGAGCAGTAGATAAGAGTTGAGGGAGTGTCTTAAAGTACAACATTGTCTTGATACTATTTTTTTCTGAAGGCTTTTTAACAGACTTGAAGTGAGAAATGATGTGAAGTTTAGAGATGCCATATTTCTTCTTGTTTCACATGAGCAGCCAATGTGTTGGTGACCTGAGAAAGCAGTGGCCTGCATGTGGTGCTGTGCCAGAATGGCCCATGGAGGGGAAGAGCAGTCAGGAGTGTGGGGCTGCTCTCCTCTTCCTGSAGAAGTTGTTACACCGAGAAATTGAGTTGGGAGTGATGAATTAACAGCTTGAATTGAGAGTGATGAATTAACACTTGAGTCATGAACTCCCAGGGTGACACATGAGCTGCTTTGCACTCCCTGCTTTGGCAGCCCCTGCTGTTTGTGCTGCCCGTGCCTGTGGAGGAGGGAGCTCGCAGTCTGGAGCTGGGATTGATGGTGATGTGTGACTCCATAGCTCTATGGGTATTTATGTGATTGCTCTGTTGAACTCCCCCCAGGTTTATGATGATGGCAGATTCATCTACCTGGTCACAGAGCTGATGAAGGGAGGGGAGCTGCTGGACCGGATCCTGAGGCAGAAATTCTTCTCGGAGCGAGAAGCCAGCGCTGTGCTCTTCACCATCGCCAAGACTGTGGACTACCTGCACTGCCAGGGAGTGAGTGAGCCCTTGCACCCCCCTCACAGCCCTGAAATTACAGAGTGACAGCTCTGGAATTACCAGGCCCATTCTCTGTGCTTTGCTTGGCTTTTCACACTGCAGGGTTTTGTATTTTATCACAAAGGTGAATAATRGAAACGACTCACCCTCTTATCCTGGCAAAGCCTTTTGACTCTACACTTCATGAAACAGCAGATTTTTGTCCTCTTATGCTTTTTACCAAATGGGGATGTTAATTCCAGTTGCATTATGAGCCAGGAGGTTTTTTATTTTATTATTTGAACTATATTTTTTGGTACTTCAAAGTTGTTAAATCATAATTGTTTAGAGCTATTCATAAGGATATTCATCTAGAGAATAGCTTTTATAAATTCTAAATTACAAACAAGTGTACCTGCTCCTCCTAAATAATGGCTTTTCAAATGTCTTTGTTTAAAGGTGGTGCACCGAGACCTTAAACCCAGTAATATTTTATATACTGATGATTCAAACAATGCTGATTCCATCAGGATTTGTGATTTTGGATTTGCAAAACAACTTCGAGGAGAAAATGGACTACTTCTAACTCCCTGCTACACTGCAAACTTTGTGGCACCAGAGGTATTTCAAGCTGATGTATTTTCTTTATGCTGTTTTTGATGCATCAAATGCTTAAACTTTTCAGCAATGCTTGGAAAAAAAACCATCAACAATTCTGCTACTTTCCTTCCAGTATAATCACACATGCTTTTTAAATGCTCGTGCATGTGTTTATTATAAACCTGCTTTAAAAACAGCAGAGTCCACCCTCAAAAGCAAGATGTGAGTCTGTTGAAAATTGTAAAAAGGATGATGATCTGGGAACAAGAAATATTTTTGGTATTTATTGCAACTTGTGTATTTATTTTCTAATAATCAAATCTCAAGGATTGACTTACCCTTCCTGAGGCTGTGGTGTGGTTTGGGGTGTTTTTTTTTAATATGGCAACTCTTTAACACTCTTTGTTTCATAGGTTCTCATGAGACAGGGATATGATGCTGCTTGTGACATATGGAGCTTGGGAGTTCTCCTTTACACAATGTTGGCAGGGTGAGAATATTTCTGAGCTGTTTTGTTTACCTAAAATCCCAGAATGTTGCCTGAATCCCTGCTTCCATAGAAATGGTGAGGCATTGGCTCACGGAATGACACAGCCACTCAGGTGGGACAGGCAGCTCTGAGTCAAAGCCAAATAAATCAGGTTTAATTTACAAATAGGATCAAGGCTTTTTTCTCCCACAGCACAGGACTTGGGGGTGCCAAAGACTTCCCCCAGTTCCCAGGAGGKAATTGAGTCTGTGAAAGTATGAGGAGGTTTTCTTTTCATCCTCCAGCCTCTTGTCCTCCCACTCCATCCCCTTTACTCATTCCTGCTCCAGGCTGCATTCCTGGCTYTGTGCAGAACACTCTGGGTTGTGATCTCTGCAGTTTCCTGAGCCTCCCCACTTGATGAAGCTCTAGGCAGCATCTAGTGGCCAAATGAGAGATGTTTGCTGAATTCTGCTCTGACAGAAAAAGAGCAGATTTTTAGCCTTATGGCTAAATCCTGTCTACTAGAACTTTCTCTCTTGATAAATCTGTACTTCTTGTGTAATATTAGAAATACACACACTACTAAATATTATTAGTGTATACTCTGTGATATGTGTCTGTTGGCAGTGGGGTATTGACTCTGATTCACAAGATTTTACCAATTTCTTGCAGTTTTTACCTATAACAATGTGGTTTTGTTGGTTTTTTTTTTTTTCCTTTCAACAGCTATACTCCATTTGCCAATGGTCCCAATGATACTCCTGAGGAGATCCTAGTACGGATAGGCAGTGGAAAATTCTCTCTAAGTGGAGGCAACTGGGACACTGTTTCAGATGCAGCAAAGGTGTGAATRTGTTTGGGTTTTATATTTTTGTAGAATTCCAGTGAAATCTACTGGACTGGTCGATAAGTGTAACTTGTTATTATTATCTGCAAACTGTTGTGCAGGGAAGGATATCTGGTTCAACTTTTTTATTTAAAGACTCCATGTGTAATCAATATGGATTCTCTGGGATGGTGTTGACCTACTCTGTGGGTATCTTAATCACCAGTGTTACCTTTCAAAAAGATCAGCATTAATATTAAATATTAATATTTAAATAATTTTTTCATGATCCCTTGAAACTGCACTGTTTGTTCATTTGAGCGGTAGTGATTCAGAATGCTTGTTGGCTGCTGCTGTCTTAGCAGCAGAAATTCAYTTCTGTGTATTTAAGAATGCTTCACATTTTGTACCTAAAACAAAGGGAACATTCTGTCAGCTTGCTCATATTTGGGTTTTATTTCAAACTGTTGCTGTGTCTGTTCTGTGCCCTTCCCGCCCACCTCTCCTTGGGACCAATGTTGTAATTAGCAGCTTACTGCTAATGCTTCTGACAGGCAAAAACAAGTGTCCATTGCTGTTGGCTTTATTCTTTTTGTGGCTTCTTGAAGGAAAAATTCGTTGCTGCTGTCTCAGTGTCTGTGAATTCAGTCGTGGTAAGGAGTCAGCAGAGACCAACAGCAAAATGAACAAGGAGAGAGATTTACAAATAATAGCTTTCCTCCATAAAATCTGCCTGCTACATTTTAATAGGATTTCTAGTCTTTTAAAGATTATATTCATAGTAAACATGAAAGTCACAACAGTGAGTTCCTTTGCAATCAAGGCTGGCTCTGTTGAGCTGCTCCAATAGTACAACACATTGTTCTCAGCCTTCTGCAGTGTCAGGGCACAGAATGATCCCGTTTGTCTGCTGATCTCTGTGTGTTTGCATTGTGTTAATCCTTCCACATCGGGTGCTTCTCTCACTACTGCCATCACTGATGTTTTCAGGGCCACCTAAGCTGATTTGGACTGAGCAAAGTGTGTTTTCCCTTTCCCTGCAGGAYTTGTTGTCACACATGCTGCACGTGGATCCCCACCAGCGGTACACGGCCGAGCAGGTGCTGAAGCATTCCTGGATTGCCTGTAGGGAYCAGCTGCCTCATTATCAGCTCAACAGGCAAGATGCCCCACATCTAGTAAAGGTAAACCYACCTGGGATGCTGCTTGAGCTGGGGGCTGTGTAAGGAGTTAAGTTGGTTTAGAACTGCAGACAGAACTCTTGTTTTTTCATTTTCCTTGGTACTGACACATTTAAGCTACACAGTGAGACAAAYTCRTGGAATTGTGGAATGGTTTGGGTTGGGAGGGACCTGAGAGYTGKTCCATCCACCCCCTGCCATTGGCAAGGACAYTTYC